ACTCCACCTCTTCCGTGTGATAGGCAAGAGGGGCCACGTCTCCAAGGCAGAGCTCGCTCATGGAACCACAGCAACATTTTATACATTTAAAAATAAATGCATGAGTTTTAGAAATCGTAGTGTTGGGATTTTAAAATGGCATGTGGAATTATCATCTCGCCCGTATCACAGATGAAAACAAGCCACACAAAGGACAGGAGAAAGAAAGGCACCAGGCTGAGTAGCTTATCAACTGTGTTTTGACTGGATCTAGCAAGCCCTGTACAGCAATATTGAAATAACTGACCCTAGGATTGAACAAATAAGTGAGTCTACAGGATGACATGATAGCCAGATTCCTCGTTTTCAGAAAAAGAAGTTACAAATAAGGGAGGCCAGAACAGACCTGGGACAAAAACAGAGGCATCAATTCAAATCATGTTTGTAAAGGTACACAAACATGGAGAGACTAGATGAACAGATTAGATAGGTGGATGAAAGATAGATAGATAGATAGATAGATAGATAGATAGATAGATAGATAGATAGATAGATACATGCTGGTTAGAGAGATGATAGATAAAAAGTGAATGAGTGGATAGGTGGATGGGTAGATGGATGGATGGGTGGATGGATGGATGGGTGGATGGACAGTTGGATGGTTCGATGGATGAATGGATGGGTGGATGGATGAATGGATGGATGGATGGATGGATGGCAAGTTTAGCTAGATGATAGATAGATAGATAGATAGATAGATAGATAGATAGATAGATAGATACATAGATAGATACATAGATACATAGATAGATAGATAATAAAAAGTGAATGAGTGGATGGATGGATGGGTAGATGGATAGATGGATGGGTAGATGGATGGGTGGATGGGTGGATGGATGGACAGTTGAATGGGTGCATGGATAAATGGGTAGATGGATGGAAAGTTTAGCTAGATGATAGATAGATAAGTAGAGAGATGATAAAAAGTGAATGAGTGGATGGATGGACATTTGGATATGTAGATGGATGAATGGATGGATAGATGAATGGATGGATAGATGGATGGATGGGTGGATGGATGGGTGGATGGGTGGATGAATGGATGGATGGGTGGATGGATAAATGGATAGATGGACAGTTGAATGGGTGGATGGATAAATGGGTATATGGATGGAAGAGAGACACAGAGAGAGAAATGATAGATAAAAAGTGAATGAGTAGATGAGTATATGGGTGGATGGATGGATGGACAATTGGATGGATGGATAGATGAATGGATAGATGGATGGAAAGTTTAGCTAGATGATAGATGATAGGTAGATAGATAGATAGATAGATAGATAGATAGATAGATAGATAGATTGATTGATTTGCACATGTTGGCATGAGTTAGTAGGATAGGTCCATTTCCAGCCCTCTGTACTGAGGGGCTCAGGAGCAATCATCCCCAGTAGCCATAAGAAGGCCACATGCTGAGACCTGGGAGGCAGGAGTGTCATTCCCTGCAGTCCCTGCTACTGCATCAGAATGCTCTCTACTTGAAGTAAGTAGGCTCACTGACAACCAAATTGGAGGGTAAAATGTCAAAATTTTGTCCTTCAAGGAGACTTTCAAGTCCTCTGTAAGCGTCACAAGCAGAGGAGGAAAGGAAGGGAAGGGCAGATCATCAACTGCTTTCCATCTTGTGTAGCTCCTTGTCCAGAAATACACGCCTCACAGACATTGACTTCACAGAAATTGAAGGCAGCGTCCCCTTTCTCTGTGGCTGTGATGAATCCCTCTGGGAATTCTGGGAAATTCCCATACCTGTGGTACCATACCTCTTGTAAAAAGTAAGACACTTTGTCTGAAAGCTTGTGTGGAAGGTCACAAATGTTGGATGATGGGCCTCATCTTATCCTAGCACCGCTTTTTGCAAAATGCAAAATAGAATTTAGGAAGGTTTCATGAAGCCCCAGGGATGTGTGGAGAAGGTCCTCGTGCCTGGACAAGCCCTCGCTCCCCCGTTTAATTCCAAATGCAGTCTGCCCAGTGGGCAGCTGACACAACTGCTGTCCAGGCCCTGGTAGTTCTGACATTGCCTTTGCCACCCCATTGCATGAGCCATGTCCCAAGAGGGAAGCAGAGGAAAGGCTCCGAGAGGCCAAATGCAAAAGGCCTCCAGTCCCTGCCTTCATCATGTGTCATCGAAAGAACTAAGTTCAGAGCTTCGGAGGGAAAGCAAGAGCCCACTACGTGCACCAAGAAGAGCTCAAGGAGGTCTCCTGAAGTGGGCAGTGCCATGGGACCTTTCTCTGGGACACCCCAGGGAGCTTCTCAGGAAAGGCTCACAACCTACAGAGTCCAGAATTCACCAGGACACCAGGTATCCTGGCAGGAACATCATGAACCAGAGGGCTTGGGTCAATGAAACTGCCACATGTAGAACTTTGCTTGGAGCATGCGCACGTGCCTACAGAAAACATCCAACGTACAGGCATGACCTCCCCCTCCATGAACACAGACAGCAAAGCATGAACCATCACAGCCTCCAGCCTGGACCCCCACCCCCGTCGCTAACCCCTCAGCTACCCACCCATGCAACACAAGAGACCCAGCTTCTCCACATTGTCACTTGCACTTGGAATTGTCTCGGTTTCCTTGTCTTTGTCTACCTATTTCAACAAATGTGTGGTTTTTTCATTTCCTGTTGGACTCACTGAATCCCTCAAGTCCCTTCAAGGAGCACCTCTCCTCACACACTTGTTTGCCATCTACATTCTTCAGTGAGGTTTTCTCTTTGCCTAAGTTCTCACTAGAGGGTTTTCCCACCAACAATGTTGACCAGGTGTGTGGCCTGCCAATACTTTATTGCCATGTCTCATCTGCTTACACAGAGCAAGCACTTCTGACTGTGGCCAGAGCCCAGTGCATCTTTGTTTTCTATTCTTTTATAGATCCTGCTTTCAGCTTCATAGTTGAGACTTATTCACCAAGAACAGTGAATAATTTTGTTTCCTTTAAAAGTTAAATGGTTTTGACATTTTACATTTGGGTCTAGGATCCCTGAGCAGGAGGGTA